GCAAGCCGATTCAGATCAGAGAATCCGAAATTGGCCCGCAGCAGCCCGAAAGGCACCCGAATGGGCCATTTTCGGGGGTGCATTCGGTTCAGACGAATGCACATCCCTACACACAACCAATGCTCCCTCTAAGCTGTGGAGTCCTGTGAGCAGAAATTCTACTTTGTGAGCTACCGGCATTAAAGTTGTGAGCGAGCCATTTGGCTACGGCATAAATTAGTTTGCTCTGGAGCCATCCTGCCTGAGCCAAGACAAAAAATCTGTGAGCCAGGGGCTATAAAACTGAGCTGGCTCACACTAACTCAGCTTAAGAGGGAAGACTGCACACGACACAGAGAAGTTGGCAGAGATGTGCAAATGGACTTCTGGAAAACTTGTCTGTCGTTGCTGATGTATTCATTGAGGGAATCTCCAGTAAATCTTAGGAGGAATTCCAATTGCACTGTGCGAGCGACTTAGACAACCGACATGGAATTTCCTTTCCGTTGTTCATATGCAGCATAACAGGAGCGTTGCAATCCTTTGATCAAATTCTCTTATTCCATGTTAAATTCAAGGGGGCTTTTTGAAGCAGGCAATAAATTATTCACAAGGCTACTTAGATACATTATTAAGGACTGCGGTCTATACTACTTTGTTTAGCTTGCTAAAACTAGGGTCCGACGGTGTAATCTTGAGATCGTACGATCCAGTGTTTTAAGCTCTCTCCGTCCGCATCCACAATATCTGCCCCGGAATCCGATCTTCATGTAAGGGCCTCTCGGAATTTGTCTTATTTTGTTTCAGATGCTGCCCATCATTAACTCCAACGGGGAGAAACTGTGGAAGAATGTCCAGAAGAAAGTGGATAACGGTGAACCCATAGCTATGAAAGAGTGAGTGTAGTCGATTTTACAACGGGAACCGAATTGCATTCAGTCAAAGGTCTCGACACCCAATAAGAGATGCCTGCTATTTCGTACAGTATCTGCAGCATCAGAAATTCTCATCTTTTGGGTTCTGCGCAGTGGCACATGTCCGTAAAACTCTGCTCAGCTAAGTTTGAAGAATTCCTTCCAGTTTAAGCAGAAGAGCCGCTCCGGTTGACGGTAGACTCCTTCGGCTATGGGAAGGTTTCAAGCTTTGCTTAGCAGAATGGTAGGGATACGTCCATGTCAGTTTGGTGCTGGAACTGCCTGGTATTTGGGGGGGGGGAACCCTTTGTGTATCAAACTGAGAACCGAGAATGAAGTTAAAATTAGCAACCCCCACACGTGTGTCCTGTTGTTCCAATTCACAGGTAGAGAGACATTCTCCCAAAATGCATGGGTTTAATGGGATGATGTTGCAAATGCGACACATAATTACATGGTTTCAAACATGAGATACATGTTCTGTATGGTTTAAAATAACACGATGCTTCTACACTTGCGTAAGGTTTGCCATGGCCTTCCTCTGCAGAATCTTCCTTGGTGGTCTCCCATCCAAGAACCAACCCTACTTACAGCAACCCCAGCATGGGGCTTTCAAGGCAAGGGAGAAGCAGAGGTGGTTTGCCATGGCCTTCCTCTGCAGAATCTTCCTTGGTGGTCTCCCATCCAAGAACCAACCCTACTTACAGCAACCCCAGCATGGGGCTTTCAAGGCAAGTGAGAAGCAAGAGGTGGTTTTGCCATGGCCTTCCTCTGCAGAGTCTTGCTTGGTGGTCTCCCTTCCAAGACTTATGGTGACCCCAGCAAGGGGCTTTCAAGGCAATGGAGAAGCAGAGGTGGTTTTGCCATGGCCTTTCTCTGCAGAGCCTTCCTTGGCGGTCTCCCTTCCAAGTACCGACACTGCTTAGCTTACAACTTAAGGCGACCTCAGCAAAGGGCTTTCGAGGCAAGGGAGAAGCAGAGGTGGTTTGCCATCGCCTTCCTCTGCAGAGTCTTGCTTGGTGGTCTCCCTTCCAAGACTTATGGTGACCCCAGCAATACAGAAATGGTGCAATGGAGAATGGTAATTACTTTGTGCTTCACTGGTAGACAGCGTGGGTTCTTTTCCATTGGGAGAACAAAAATCATTAGTACCCTGATCAAGACGCATGCCCATCTGAAACAAGTCAGGTAACCAGGGAGGGTTACATCAAAGGTTTCTATCGCACCTGTGAACAAGTCCCATTGTCTAGTTTGGTGCAGTGGTTAAGCCAGTTTGATGCACCGGTTAAGAGCATGGACTCTAATCTGGGAGAACTGGGTTTGATTCCCCACTTCTCCGCATGCAGCTGCTGGTGTGACCTTGGGTCAGTCACAGGTTCGCTCAGAGCTGTTCTCTCAAGAGCAGTCCTCGAAAGAGCTCTCTCAGCCCCACCGACCTCACAGGGTGTCTGTTGTGGGGAGGGGAAGGGGAAGG